AAAAAAAAAAAAAAAAGAAGCCCTCTCCACTGATGAGGGTCTTCTATAAAATACAAAAAAAAAGGTATATATGTAGAGATACATATTACTGTAGCATACACAAAACTGTTTACTACGCCTAATGGATGATTTTAAGCAATTTAAGGATAATCTTAATTTTACATAATTTTTCTCCACACCTGCTGATTTTAAGTGTAACTGCCTTGTAGGATATAACTCTCCTGCATCCTGAAATATCTGCTTTGTACAGATACTGTTCATGGCAGTGGCATTCATGTCAAGGAGCTTTTGAGGAAAAGTATGTTTGCCCGCTATGATGTTACATCAGATCTACTTGATTATTTTTAATCCAATCTTCCTATAACCTCTTTCTTAGCCTTTCACTTTCCAGGCTATGTGTCTAGTTTTTAAATAATTTATTCCCCTTGTCCATTTAATTCCGCATGTTACCATTTAATTTATTCTTCTTTATACCTTCTCGTTTCTATTATGTCTTTCTTAGAGTACAGCTATTAGGCTTGCAGGCACCTTTCCCCGAGGATCATGACTTAGAACAAGGGTTGGTTCTTATATGTAGATGATGTGCTTAACTATTAGATCTTTATATTTAGGATATAGTTGACAGTAATTTATTTGATAGCAAGTAGACAGTCACTTTCTGTCTATCATTTTAGGTTTCTGTTCCTGTATTCTTTTTCCTGCCCATCTTCAAAGCATTATACCATCTTCCACTTTATCTCCTGCCTCTGAATTCAGAAGACCAGATCTTTTGTGAATTTGGAGGTTTCTTTCATTTTTATTAACTTTTTAAAGGCTAACTAATACCATGTATTATGTCCTCATACCAAAATTATATACTTCTTTAGATAAGTGTTTTTAATATACCTTTTATTTTCTTATATTGAATCTGTTTCTTCACTCACAACCAAATGCTCCTGTACACTTCTGATGACCAAATTTAAAATACTTTTTTCTGGAACCTTGACAGGGGCTTCGTATTTTTTTTTCTTTTGTTTTAATTTAAGTAATGCCCTCTGGTTTTCAACCAGTTACCTTTAATTAAAACCTTGGTATTCCTTTTGCTAAAACCATATTGCTTCCTCTCAAAAAAAATATTGTCTAAGCATGTAACATCTTGCCCTTTTCAATGGAAATGAGGCACATCCGCATTTGGTTCCCCAAAGTATAAAATTCCACTAGCCACAAAACCACTCTAATAGACTTCTAGCACAGTGGCTTTTTTAAATTCATAGTTTACTCCCCTAAAACTATTGAAAATGTATACATTTCTTGGTTAGATGCCATTTAGAGCCGGTATCTTTTGAGAGCATAAGGAGAAAGGGACATCTGGTTTTTTAATTAGATCTAGAACTGTGCTGTCCAATATGGTAGCCACTAGCCACATGTGGCTATTGTGCACTTGAAATGTGGCTAGTCCAAATTGAGATGTGCTGTAAGTGTAAAATAGATACCCGATTTCAGACTTAGTACAAAAAATATATAAAATATCTCAATTTTTATATTGATTACATGTTGCAATGATAATATTTTTAATATATTGGGTTAAACAAAATATATTACAATCAATTTAACCTGTTTCTTTTTACCTGTTTAATGTGGTAACTAGAAAATTTAGATTACATATGTGGCTCACATTATATTTCTATTGGACAACGCTGGTCTAGAAAATCTTATACATTTACTAGTCTTTGGCAACTGTTGTCTCTGAATTGTTTGCTTCCAAAGGAAATTTGAAAGTAAAATTCTTAAGTCTCTCTAAGCAAAAAATTTACTTAGTTCTCCTTCATGGTCCCACTAAGTACCTAAATATATAACATATCAAAGTTAGGAAGTGTATTAAGAACTTCTTTTTTGGGGGGAGACCGTGGGTTAGAGTCCCTTGTAAGGTATTTGTTGAATTGTCTTTGGCCCATTTTTAAAGCCCAGTTATATTTGCACAGTGATGTCATATCTGTTCCTCAAATAGTTTTTTATAGCTAAAAGACCACTGTGTAAAGAGAACAATTGTGGTGGCCTGCAGCTTTCCAGTAACGTATAGTTACTTGTTCGTTAGAAGCTGTAAATAATAGAATGTATCAACATAGTCAGCATCTAGTTTGTTTACATCCTGAATACTGACAGCAAGAGAGATGATCATTTATAATCCAGTTAATTGAATTGGGGACAGAGAGGTAGGCAACAGATAAAAGACATTCTGCTTCCTACACTTAATGTCACCTGACATTTTGGTTTGGGGTGACTCGGTGGAAGTAATTTACATTAATAAGCTATATGAATGAAACATCAGAACCAAAAACTTATTTTGAAATTCCTAGTGGTTTGTGCTGATACTTTTTTTGCCCTCATGATCTTTTTATAACAGCTTTATTGAGATATAATTCAGATATCACATAATTCACTCTTTTAAAGTGTACAATTCAATGGCTTTTAGTATATTCACAGAGTTGTGCAGCCTCACTACAATCTAACTTTAGAACATTTTCATCACCCCAAGGAATAACTCCATCACCCCAACCCTAGACAACTACTAATCTACTCTTTGTCTCTAGATTGCCTATTCTGGACATTTTATATAAACAGAATCATACAATATGTGGTCTTTTGTGACTGGCTTCTTCCACTTAGCATAATGTTTTCAAGGTTCATCCATGTTGTAGCAGAACTTTGTTCCTTTTCATGGCCAAATACTATTCCACTGTGTGCGTATTCCACGTTTTATTTACCCATTCATCAGTCGGTGGAATTTGGCTGATACTTTTTTAACACTTAAAAATTAATGAATTTAGTATTTACATTCAGTAAGAATCTTCCCATATATTCTCATATTGAGCCTCATAGTCCTTTGTTTAGGTAGATGTTGTTATAGTCTCCACCATTTTATAGGTGAAGAAATGGAGGCTCAGAAAGCCTAACTAATTTACCTAAGATCACATAGCAATTAAGCACTAGAACTCAGACTCAAACCAGTTCATCTGACTCCAAATCATGTTTTCTTCCTTGTTGCCACAGCACACCCCGCCCCCCGTTCCTTGGTGATTTTGTTGTAAAGAATAATTACTTTGTAGTTAGCATCTTCGCTAACTATTTTGTTGTTGTTGTTGCTTGATTTAATATACTGTTAGATATGGGAAATGGACTTGAAAATAACTTTTAACGTGGCCTCTCCCAATAACTTTGTGGATAAGATGGGAATGTATTCTAGGTGATAATATACTCAGTAGCTTAGCAACAGATAGAACAATTATACAAGAAGCAAACTGCTTAACACATTGATGTCCACCTACGGGGACAGATCCAAGGGTGTGCTGGAGGGCTCTCTTCTTTTCCCTGTCTCATGAAAAACTTCTATAATGACCTAGATAAAAAAATATGTTTGTATTAAAAGACCTAGTTTATGATATTTGTAGAAATCCCAAAGTTGAAATTTTTGCATTTTATCCATCTGGTAGTGTCATACACAGAGAATATGCTCAATAAAAACTTTTTATAGTGATAACATATATTCTCTCTCGGATTCCTTTTTTTCCATAGGGTTCTGTGGCTATAGCCGGTGCTGTTATTCGCTGGCTAAGAGACAATCTAGGAATTATAAAGACCTCAGAGGAAATTGGTAAGTATGTTCTAACAAACGGTTAGAATCTGAATGGTGAAAATTTTTGATATTTTACCTTTGCAATCTGTTAATACTTGTGCTTTACCACATATGTGACATTAAATTATATGGATCCCTATTATGAGTTTGATTTATACATAAAAGACTATTTTGTGAAGATTTATAAAACAACAAATCGACATAATTAGTGGTGGATTAATAAACTGGCAAGGTAGGGCATAAAAATTACCCAACTATAAAATTGAACACCAAAGATTGCCAGAATCTGCAGTAAAGTAGTCCAGTTATATTTATCTGATGGGAAAGAGCTTTAACTCTTAGAGTGAGCATTAAAACTCCAGTACCTATAATTTAAGTATTAATATGGCTATTTTCAGTCTATGGATAATTATTTTGAACTCACCTACCCACTCTGTCTTCGACTTGTTTAATTTTGCCTGAAGATGAGACAATCAGAAACACATTTCTGATTAGGGACGCATTGGAGGCCACGTCTTCGTCTCCTAGTCAGCAACCTTAAAAATAACGGAAATGAGCTAAAATACCTTAATGAAACCAATCCAATTCCTTTATTTCTTGGTCTGGGTTTCATTTTAGTGGGTGTATTCAATGTGGGGAAATTTGTTTTTGTTGCTCCTAGCATACTGCTGTAATTAGGAACATTTTGCTGTACTAATGAATAGGAAACCAAAAGCCCTGTCCTAATTTTGTTAAACAGATGTGTTTATGAACTAAAGTAAGTAGGATATGTTAAAGTAAGTAGGATATGTTAGAGTGATTTTTGTTTTTCTTTTTTTTTTAATGTTAGAAAAACTTGCTAAAGAAGTAGGTACTTCTTATGGCTGCTATTTCGTCCCAGCATTTTCAGGGTTATATGCACCTTATTGGGAGCCCAGTGCAAGAGGGTAAGAATTGAAAATAAGGTATGCTTTTGTGGGTCCTGATTTATTTACTAAATTAGCTAATAACTTATTAGTTAATAGTTTCCTATCTATTTTCAAATTATTTTAAAGTGTTGAGGAAACCTTTTCCATTTGGAAAGTATAATTTCAGAACCTTTAAATTCCAAGAAGTTATAAATCATCTGACAATAAGCCCCCATATTCATATTCGTGAATTCATATCCATATTCATATTAGTGTTGTTATCTTTTATCTTCAAGGCATCTGAAAGTTATGTATCAAAGAGATATCATCCAGATGAATACTGATTTGGTTTTATATTATTGTCATCTATTCAGATGGATCATGAACTTTTTCATATGTGGATGCAGAATTGTGGACTCGAAGGACTTTCCAAGCTACTTAGTGTTTATGTCCAGTTTTGGGGGTTTTTTTAATGTCCTTTTTATTTCTGCACATTTCTATCTACCAAATTCAACCTTTCCATATTCAGAACATTTCGGATTGATGACTCATTTATTCCACTCTAATATTGAAATCTTTGCATATATTTTTAGGATCATCTGTGGGCTCACTCAGTTCACCAATAAATGCCATATTGCTTTTGCTGCATTAGAAGCTGTTTGTTTCCAAACCCGAGAGGTAATAAATATAGGCCTGTTGTCTTGTACTTAATCCACTTTCATTGCTCTTAAATAAATTATATATTAATGCCAGAAATTTGTTAAGTAGTTTATCAAAAATTAAGCCTGCCTAAACACTAATCCAATAAATATAACTGTTCTTTGTCCAGCTGTCATTATCTTCTAAGTTCCTGTTATCTGCCAGGCTCTGGGCATTTTACATGTGGAGGGGATGCTGAGTGGTACATATTAGGCAAAGGGAATAGCACAAACATAGGCATCGAGGCAGGAAACCAGGGTGCAAATAGAGTTGTTTGGCTTGGCTGGATATAAGGGTGAGTGCAGAGGTGTAGTGAGAGAAAAGGTTGATTGTGACCAGATCAAGGAGGGCTTGGAAGACCAGAATAAGAAGTCTAAATTTTGTTCTCTAGGCTTTGGGAAGCTCTTGAGGGTTTTTGAGTAGAAGATTGCCCTTTTCAGAGATGTTCCTACGAAATAGTTTAATGATGCTCATTGCATTGGTTTATTTAAGATTTTGGATGCCATGAACCGCGACTGTGGAATTCCGCTCAGTCATTTGCAGGTAGATGGAGGAATGACCAACAACAAAATTCTCATGCAGCTACAAGCAGACATTCTGTATATTCCAGTAGGTTAGTAAGCCTTCTTTCCTTTAAACTCCTAGAGCAACATTTCTTTCAGAAGAACTAGTTTGTTAGACATAAGGAACTGCAAAGATGTTGATGTAGCTCTCTCCCCTCAGTGAAGCCCTCGATGCCTGAAACAACGGCCCTGGGCGCTGCCATGGCTGCAGGGGCTGCAGAAGGCGTTGGCGTTTGGAGTCTCAAACCCGAGGATTTGTCAGCTGTCACGATGGAACGGTTTGAACCCCAGATCAACGCTGAGGGTACATTTAATGAATGAGACCTTTAATGGTATACTGTGAAAAAGGCCTTAGTGAGAGAGAGTTTGCCTTTCTGTTTATTCATAAGTTAAGAAACTAAGTAAAATAGCAAATGCTACTGTTTCAGATTTGGCTACTAAGCATGTTGGGTCACACTGAATGAGTGTGAATGAGAGAAATAATTCCTTATTTAAAAAAAACTCCTAACTGCTTTTTTTTACCATTCACTTCTCTTGTTTACAGTCCTTTCATGTAGGAGAATAACACTGCCACAGGATCAGTTCTAGCTTGTTAGCATAGTCTTTGAGAAGGGAGATATATCACTCACCAATCCCTAATGTCTACACTGGATCGTCTTTGGTTCTAGTGGTCTGGTTTTAGGACGTGATCAGCTGGGCTAAGGAACATTCTGGTAACTTTTAAGCACAGCAGAGCTAGCCTGACAAAAGCAACAACAATTTAAGTAAATGAGCATTAAATAATCTGATTCATGGTCCTAACAAACTAAGCTAAGCCACAAGCTCTGACCAATACCTTATTAAAATACAGTGATACTTCTCTTAAATTGAAATAAATGTGAGTACAATAATCAGGTTTTATATATATAATGAATTTGGTTTTATAACTTTTTAAAAACCTATATATAAAATAGCATCAAAGTGGATTTTGAGCTATTGGGAACTAAGCTTTCAAATGCATTTTTGTTTAACTTTCTGGAAGTCTATGCCAGCACTTCTTAATTTTATTTGTTCTTTCTCATATATAAGAAAATAGATTGTAATACTGGTAATTTTATAGTCAGATAGTATACCATGTGCCTTGATGTAGAAATGTGTTTCAAAATCTGATATTCTGTCTATAAGTAATTTTTAACTTTTGCAATATTGGATAAAATATGAAGTTCAAAAAATTTTTCTACTTCTGAAAAAAAAAATCTACTTTTTTTTTTTTTAGATTTTATTTATTTTATTTTTTCCCCCCAAAGCCCCAGCAGATAGTTGTATGTCATAGCTGCACATCCTTCTAGTTGCGGCATGTGGGACTCGGCCTCAGGATGGACGGAGAAGTGGCGCCTCGATGCGCACCCGGGATCCGAACCCGGGCCGCCAGCATTGCAGCGCGCGCACTTAACCACCAAGCCACAGGGCCGGCCCTCTACTTTTTAAAAAGAAAATAACGTTCAGAGAAAGTATATGGTCTCGAGACACTAATCCCACTCTTAAAGCAAGGAACTTTTGTGCAAAGAGTTAAGGATTACTATTTTCTGAGGAGAGCCATCCTTGCTGTTTTTTAAGGCCTTAGCCCAGAGTTAATCAGTTATGTCAGTTGTCCTTCCCTTCACCAAACCCTCTGCTCTCCGGACAACACACACGCACGCACACACGCACACATGCACACGTGCACATGAATAGGCACCTATACGTACATAGTTCATTCTTCCAGCAAACATTTGTTTAGAGCCGACTACAGGCCAGAAACTGTCCTGACGTGAGAATATAGAGATGAATATAGAAATGAACCAAGTCTTTGCCCTTCAGGAAACTCAAGTATTTTGGGAGAGGTAGACAAAACCATGAAAATTCACTGTGGTAGTTGATATCCTGAGGTATGTGTGTGAGGCACTGTGGGGAGATGGAGGAGGGGCCAGAAGTGGGGCCCTGGAAAGCTTTCTGAAGTGAGTGATACTTGAGCAGTGTCTCATAGGTGTTGCAGGCTTTGGGTGCTGTGGAAAGGCCAAGAGGCTTGAGAGAAGGGTAGCCCCACACGTGGCTGCCTATTGTTAGGAGGAGTACACCCTGTGTGTGGATGTACCAGTGTTCATTTTTGTTTAGTCCTCCTATTGTGGATTTCCACCTTAAGGGAATCCTGTCTCACAGGAATGCCATTTGAATCTTGTGAGAAATCAATATTTGTTAAATCCTTTGGCTGACCAAAAATAATTTTCCTTCTAGTCTTTCCACATTATAGTATGCCCCTCCCCTCAGCCCAAGCTCACACACACACACATGCGTGCACACACACACACAAAGAGAACAGATCAAATGGGATTCCCCTTTCTAATTCATCACCACTCATTTGTAAATGGCCTGGTCTTACCAGGTAGCCTGTCTCCCAATCTCCCTTCACCCTGTAGACCATTCCGAATTTCCCCTCCAACTTCCAAGCAAGCTTCTCTTCCAGTCAGGGGCAGTCACTAGCAACCATACTCTCCCAAATATGAGTCCTGGGAAAGCCCCATGTCAGTTTAATACGTGTAACAATTTGTCAAGAATGCTGAGTGAACGTTAAGTATGGTGCTTAGAACATCTCAGTAAACTACCTTTCATATGTGTGTTTTTCCTACCTTCTATTTCTAGAAAGTGAAATTCGTTATTCTACGTGGAAGAAAGCTGTGATGAAGTCAATGGGTTGGGTCACAACTCAGTCTTCGGAAAGTGGTAAAAATGTTTTTATTATTATTGCCACTTTTTCTTAGTATGTTAAATATCTTATTTAAATGTCTGACCATTTATACTTAGCAAGGCTGCTCTGAAGGAAAGCATTATCATATGTCCAGAGTTTCTAACATTTTGAAAACACTTAAAAGATCTAAACACAAAATGTAAATTCTCAGGTTGATATACATCCTTAACTCTATCCTGCCGTATCTTTTCTTATTAGTTTATTCCTGGTACTTCAATTGATGACTTAGTTTTCTAAAAGTAAAATTATTTCTAGTTTCTTCTTAATGAAAAAAAATCAACTAGAGTCTTTTTTTTTTCCTCTTAATGTCTTACTTGACCTTTTTGGGGGGCTGTCTTCATGACCTGAACCAACTGAAAGCTGTATTAATTTCACGATATATTTCTACTTCCTGGGCTGATTCCAAGTTCTTAGCAAGTGTACGTTATGGGAATTCATTGGAATCAGAGAAGAAGAAATATACCATAGTAAATTAGAGGTGTCCTAATAGATTTAGAAGTGCACTTGGCAGAAAATACAGGACTATTTTTTTCAATCACTTAGGTAGGAAGGTATTTAGCTTAAGTAAACCATTTAGTTGTAAACAGTCTTAAGCTGTCTTTAATATGCCTTTGATATTTAAACAGTCTTAAACATGCCTTTAATATGGCATGATATTTTAATTCTTTGCTAAATGCAAGATATAGAACATAATGAATGGAACAATGGGCAGTAATATATTGAAGCATATACTTTAATGGAGAAGAGTTTATGAATGAAATGTAACCTGCCTTCCAACCCCAAAGTGAGCATAGAACCACTTTTAATGTATCTGGCTTTTAGGAGAAGCTTCTGGAACCATCCACTACCACAGATCACTGTGATCTGTATTTTCAGCCCTGGATGTTCCTATTTGAGGCTTTTGTTTGTTCTCCTAAATAAGCTTAGTATCCTTTTTCTTTAAATCTTTTGTTCTGAGACTCAACTTCCTTTCCAAGCTGGTGGCAAAGCTTTTCTTACTAAGACTGTTTGCAATTTTGAGACCCTCTATAATTAAACTTCTCAATCATGAGTATTTCTCTACCACAGTGCTAGTTGCTGTGCAAGATATAACAGATGTGCGCCACTTCGTCTAGTGGTTGTATTTTTTTCACTCTTGGATGTTAATTTTGAATACACTTCTTTTTTAAAGAATGTTAAATGTTCTAGATATATATTTTTAAATTCAAGAAAAGCATAAATATAAGAAATATTCTTTAAAGGAAGAGATTCGGAGAATCCAGGTTAGAAAATATCAAAACAACCATTATTCTCAGGCAATTTTTATAAGTGTAGATTAATACAATTTAGTTTTTAAGTTACAGTAATATTAATTGTTGGGTGCATTTCCTTATACACCAAATTCTATTTAAAAAAGAAAATGAAACCAGTAGGTTTTGAAATTCATTTTCAGTAGATTAATATAATTCTTCTCTGATAGCCAAAGGATCTATAATTTGAACTTTGGGGGAATTGGCTTGCTCCTGTATCTTTTGGGGAAGAATCAAGAAAGCTAAAATCAATAGCCTCCCAAAAAGTTCTCTCTTTGGCTTTGCCAGTGGAAGGCTTATGTTGGTCTATATGTGCTATGGTAGTCCCCTCTTATCTGCAGGGGACGCGTTCCAAGATCCCTGGTGGATTCCTGAAACCGCGGATAGTACTGAACCTTATGTATACTAGGTTTTTTCCTATGCATACATACCTATGATAAGGTTTAATTTATAAATTAGGCACAGTAAGAGATTAAGAATAGTAACTAATAATAGGGGCCGGCTTGGTGGCACAAGCGGTTAAGTGCGCACGCTCCACTGCGGCGGCCCGGGGTTCACAGGTTCGGATCCCGGGCATGCACCGACGCACCGCTTGTCAAGCCATGCTGTGGCAGCATCCCATATAAAATAGAGGAAGATGGGCACAGATGTTAGACCAGGGCCAATCTTCCTCGGCAAAAAGAGAAGGCTTGGCAACAGATGTTAGCTCAGGGCTGATCTTCCTCACAAAAAAAAAAAAAGTGACTAATAATAAAATTGAACAATTATGTGCTGTAATAAAAGTTACATGAATGTGGTCTCTCTCTTAAAATATCTTATTGTACTAATCCTTCTTCTAATGATGTGAGATGGCACAATGCCTGCGTGATGAGGTGAAGTGAAGTGAAGTGAAGTGAATGATGTAGGCATGGTGAGGTAGCATTATTTTGGGACCGTGGTTCACCATGGGTAACGAACCACAGAAAGCCAAACCGCGGATAAGGGGGGACTGCTGTATGTTCTTGGCTACTTGTAGCATGCTATCTGTATTGTTAATTGTCATAAGCCTTCAGTATTGATTATACTTTTGATTTGAAGTAATCACTCTTTGCTAGCTGTTATGAATATACTATTTTTATAACTTATTTTGTTTTGCTGTCATGTGATTCTTAACACAAATATTGTAATTATGTGTCTCTCTTTTGGTTTGCTTGACTGGAATTCCCTTCTACTTGGATGGCCACAGGTGACCCTAGTATCTTCTGTAGTCTACCCTTGGGCTTTTTTATAGTGAGTAGCATGGTAATGTTAATCGGAGCAAGGTACATCTCAGGTCAGTTACTCTTTAAATTAGACAATTTTATTAGTTAGTGTTAATGTATTTGTGTATAACTCAGCAGAAAGTTTTCCATGTTTTTCATTCTTCCTATGCTAAGGAACCTGGAAAGTCCACTAAATGTCTAATTAGTTACCCCAATTAATCTTTTGGGGCAGTCGGAATTAAGGACTGTGACTCTGCTTAACCTCTTTCATTTGTAGTAGATGATGATTTCTTTGAGGGGCTACATTCTGCAGTCAGCTGCAGCAATAAGCAAAAGTGCCAAAATGAAAGGACTTTCCGAGTGACAGATGAAAGTTAAAGTATAATTTTTGACATTAATTAAATTGGCTTTCAAACATACATAAGTTGTTTTTCATACTTATGAAAATCTGCTATGCAGGTCTTAATATCTCAATTCTGGTAAGAGTTTCGGCCAGAGTACGTTAGCAGAGTTTCTGTAAAACTCTAAAACTGGGGAAAATTTAGAGTCACTTTTATTTTAGTTAAAAGAATGTATTTTGTGAGCTCAAGTTTTTAAAATTATTGCTTAAATAAATTGGGGTTGAAGTTAAAACTGAATTATTTTTGCACATTAACTTCTAAATATATTTTTAAAAGTAAAATTGCTCAGCATATTATGAAATACATTGCATAACCTGTGTTACGTGTTAATTTGCATGTAATAATCATTTTTGGAAGCTGTTCCTGATGATAGCTCAATTTTTCTTTAAGTTAATGGGTTAAATGGAAATGACTTGTTCCATATGTTGCCAAGAAAATGAAACATTTTTAAAATCTTCCTAATTAAGGAAAGAGTTAAATTATTTCTCTTAATTAATTAGATGATGGCCTGGGTTTTAAATATAAAATGTAAACTTTTTTGATATGGTGGAACATCTGTTTGTAGAAGTCTGACAAGCCTTAATTCATCAGTTTAGGTCTACCTATATATATGTATATATGTGTGTGTATATATATATATATATGGAATGAAAATTATTTACATCAGCAGAACATTAGATTGTCTTTTGATTAGTGATAAAATGTAGGTTACTTGCATGAGAATTTGAAACTAGATTACCTTTTTTTATATTCATATGCAGGATAAATGTGTTTAAATCTTCTGCTTCCGTAATAACAATACCTTATTTTGGTATTACTGCTTTACATCTTACAAATGGCTTCTGTGTACATAGATCTATACAGAATTAGATGATATCTATTTTCTTGCTTCTCGAGAATGTTTGGTGAAAGAATACAAATATTCCCCAGAAGAATTGTAATTTGAATTTATAAAGAAACTTATATGCTGTTTTAGGAGAAGTTCTGTTATTTTTTTATTATCCTGAGGGTTTTCTTTGGCTGCATAATGATGGTCTGGAAAAGGAAAGAAAAAAACATAGCAGCTGAATGTTTTCATTGATTTTTTTTTCCTTCTCTTTTCCCTTGGTACCATGACAGGATGAAAAAGCCTGGTCTCTATGAAAATTGAAACATGTAGCATATCTCTACACTACAGAATACATTAAGTGTGCAAATTCCTAAGCTTCCAACATGGATATGATTACCATCTTTAGGCTCTCTCTTGGTAACATATACTGAGATTTGAGAACAGTGGGGATTGCTTGCCTTGGTAAACAATTAGCAATAGTGTTAATATTTGCTAATTTTGGAATTGGCCCAGTTATTTTTGTTGCATTTTAACTGTGAAGCAATATTTAGAAATCATATGGAATTTCTAGCTCAATAAATGATTAGGTAGTCTGCATTGCTTTAACTCCTGAATTGCATGTATGTTATTATTGACATATCGTTTTTGTCCCCCATTTTAGGTATCCCATAAATAATACCAACTCATGGATTCCACAGATGCGAGCTCTTCATCTAATGAGAGAATCCAGCGGTTGTCTCTTAGTGTGATGACACTATTCATAGACTCTGATTTTATTTATAAGCCACTCGCTGCATGACCCTCCAAGTAGACCTGTGGCTTGAAATAAAGAAAATGCAGCAGAAAGAATGCTATAGAAACATTTGGTGTGTTTTTTAACATCAACAGTTAAGATTGGACCAGCCACCTTTGGGGCTGACCCTTCTTTTGCCATCCCTTCCTGCCCCATTCCCTCTAAGATCTAAGAAGAATTCAGATCCTGTCCATTGGAATCTTTCATCAAACATCTTCGAACGCTCATGGGCCAGGATTTGATTCTCTGCAGCACACACACTTGATTAAAGGTTTATTACTAACAGGCTAAAAATGAGCGACTTTTTGTTTGTTTCTTTTTAATAGACCCCCAAGAGTCCTCTTTTCTGCATATTAGGGAGACCACAGCATCTTCACTGAATGTTTAAATGGAAACTTCTACTAAATTCTTAAAATGGAAATTTAGTACTCTCGTAGCTTAGATATTTTTCTGAAAAGTATTTGCTAAAGCTGAAATTCTTTGGACATTTTATATGGTCTCACTAATTACACTGAATTGCTGTCTGGATCTTATAGGGAAGGACACTTTTTCCTTTTTTTTCCATCTCTCCTTTTTGTATTTTTTACTTTGTATGTGTAACATACATGCCTATATATTTTATATACTGAGGGTAGCCCATTTATAAATTAAGAGCACATTGTATTCAGTAGGTTTATTGGGGCTGGTCTTAAGTGGACCACTATGTGTAGAAATATTTTGGGGAAAACACTGTACACATTTTTGGACAACAGTTATGCATATTATTTACCAGGAGAAACTTTTTCTTAAAGAGCCAACATTGAAAATTTAAGTATATGTTCTCTGTCAATAAAAAAATGTACTTTATTGTGACTTCAACTATATTTTTTATATCTTACCATTTTATTTGTTTTAGCTGGATGTATGCTTTAAAAAAAACCTGTGGAATACTACAGTAAATATTGTTTTCAAACACAAGCACTAGTACATATAAAGTTATTTTCCTTTGTCATAATTTTAGACATATTTGGGATCCTTTTGAAGAGATGTCAAAAAAGTTTAAAAACTTAAGTAGAATAAAACCTTAGTAATAAAGCCAAGAATCTCTTTTTATCTAAATATGTTATCAGTTGCTGATAAGCAATTATTTCTATTTGGAATGACAGAGAATTATTTCTTCTTACTGTCATTATAACTGAAAAAAATGTTTATTATTAGAAATGAATTCCAATGAAACCAAGAATTTCTCAAAATATTTAGTATTACGTGTTATAAAAACTTACCTAATCTAGCTGCTTAATGTCAATCTAAAAAATATTTTTAAATTAATTTGTTTACTACAAATAAGAAAATAGTGCCTCCCAATTATTTTCTTCAGTCAGTGCTGAAAATGGCAAAATATTTATATATTAATATAAAAGATTTTGTTTTGTTTGGAATTAATGATAGTTTGCATTTGCAGTTCTGATTGTACTGTTTCTACATTATTGAATCTGCTGGGTTTTATTGATGCAGCTGCCAATTTAGTGAGATAAATATTATAGAAAGGTATCATGAGATTATTACTTCGTGGCAAGGGTACTTTTTAACATAATTATGTTTCTACAAAGGTAGGTTGAGTTAATTGGAAATAATTGTGAAAATCACTGTTCAAATAATTTTAAGATTGATTTTCTATAAATTGCAATATTTATAAATGTTTGAAATTGTACACATTGATATTTAATGATAAATGTACTTAAAATAAATTGACCCCTCATTCTTACTTGCATTTCTCATTTACAGACTAGAGCTTAGATCAAAGTTAAATTAAGAAAGATATTTCAGGAAACGTGATACTCAACTGTTAGCCCTTGATCAGGCACATTCTGTAGAATTAACCAACAGCTGAAGAAATAGTTTCTGGAATGATGAGCACCTTAATCATTCTATTAGAAAAGACTACACTGTGCCATCTCAGCATCCAGGAAATACCCTGGCGAGGTCAGCAGCCATTGTCATTAGGGTCTCACGTGGCTAACCGGGACCTTCTACTGGTTTCTCTCTGCCTGGATTAGTCGGTGGAGTCAAGTGCGCCGTTGTTCTCTCAACTTGATAGCCAACACCTCAATCTTTTGTTCTCCAACTAATCAGTAACATACGTAACGCATCTTTGCTTCTGTAATAATATCTTAGAATTTTTTAGCGTGTTTCTTTTGAAATGCCCAAAGCTCAATTCTTTGGTTTATGGGTATTTTGTATCATTTGGGAATGAAGAATGATAGCTATTTAGGAGAAACCACCAAACAAAAGATGTCATAGCATAGAAACTAGCAGCACTGACAATAGAATAGGTAGTATTTACCTCATAGTGTCTACCTAATAGGGAATAGAAGTACAAAAATTGCTATTTTTTTATTTTATTGAGGTCATAATAGTCTATAACATTGTGAAATTTCAGTTGTACATTATTATTTATCAATCACCGTATATATGTGCCCCTTTACCCCTTATGCCCACCCGCCAACCCCCTTCCCCTCTGGTAACCACTAATCTGTTCTCTTTGTCCATGTGTTTGTTTGTCTTCCACATATGAGTGAGATCATGTGGTGTTTGTCTTTCTCTGTCTGGCTTATTTCGCTTAACATCATACTCTCCAGGTCTATCCATGTTGTTGCAAATGGGACAATTTTGTCTTTTTTATGGCTGAGTAGTATTCAATTGTATATATATACCACATCTTCTTTATGCATTCATTAGTTGATGGGCACTTGGGTTGCTTCCACTTTTTGGCTATTGTGAATAATGCTGCAATGAACATAGGGGTGCATAAGTCTCTTTGAATTGTTGATTTCAAGTTCTTTGGATAAATACCCAGTAGTGGGATAGCTGGGTCGTATGGTATTTCTATTCTTAAAAAATTGCTTTTTTAAATAGTTTTAATGTGGTATAATTGATATACAGAGAACTGTACATATTTAATATATACAATTTGATGAGTTTGGACATATGCATGCACCCATGATACCATCACCACAATCAAGGTAATAAACATATCCATCACCTCCCAAAGCTTCCTTGTGCCCCCTTTTTTTTTTTCAATTGGTAAGAATGCTTAACATGAGATCTACCCTCTTCAATTTTTAAGTGTACAATAGCATATTGTTAACTATAGGCACTATGTTGTACAGCAGATCTCTAGAACTTATTCATCTTGCATAGCTGAAACTACACCAGTTGTTTGTTTTTTGAAGAGCAATTTTTTGTTTCTCACTACCCCCAGCCCATGGCCACCACCCGTCTCCTTTGTGTTTCTATGAGTTTAACTATTTTAGATTCCACACATAAGTGAGATCATACAGTATTTGTCTTTCTCTGTCTGGCTTATTTCACTTAGCATAATATCTTCCAGGTCCATCAATGTTGTTATAAATGGTAGGGTTTTCTTCTATTTTAAGGCTGAAAAAACTCTCAAAAGTATTTCCTGAGATTTCCCTGTCATCAGATTTAGTGAAAATGACCCATTAAATTAAATTTGGGGACTATGAAGATAAATATCCTGAGAGGCAGAAGATAGGTTAAAAACAAGTTGCTCAACTAGACTAGTAACTTTATTTGCCAGTTTTCATCCTATTTCAAATAACTAGTTCTATCTGACAGCATAATAGTTGAGAGGATGACAATATTTTATTTTAAAAGGCAGCCTCAGGCCTTTTTCGATTTTCCTGGTTAGTGTTAAAATTAAGTAGCTGCTTTTATTCCTCATTATTAATCTTGATATTATTTATCTCATTGGTTGCTTATTATTGTATGACATTTACAAGTAGATTTCATAAATATCAAATCATTTAAATCGTCACCAGAACATTCATCAAAGGGAGACTGCTTAAATAAACTATGGTACAGCCACACAATCGAAAATGTGTAGCTTTAGAAAAGAATGAGGACACTGTCTAGAAACGGGGAAACATACCCAGAATAAGTGAAAAAGCAAGGTACAGAGGAGTGCGTAAGATGCTACCTTTCTATTTAAAAAAGAGAGAGAAAAGTAGGACGTTCGCCTGTGCTGGAAGGACACATAAGAAGCTGTTAATAGTGTTTACCTGCTGGATCAGAAAACAGTGATAATCAGGCATGTGGGAGACGGGTGGGAAAATCTTTTCACTACATGTATATTTGAACCATGTTAATTATTAGTATGTATAATATTGAACCATGTTAGTGTATTAACTATTTACAAAACTAATTTTAAATTTTCTAACTTAAATTCAGAGGTCATTGTACATGAATGTTCATGGCAGCAATATTCATAATAGCCAAAGAGAGGAAACAACCCAAATTTCTATCAGTTGATGAATGGATAAACAAAAGGTGGTATAGCCATACAGTGGAATATTATTTAACCAAAGAAAAGAATGACGTGCTGATCCATGCTACAACATGGATGAACCTTGAAAACTATGCAAAGTGAAAAAAGCCATGCACAAAAAGCCACATATTATATGAGTCAATTTATATGAAATGTCCAGAATAGACAAATCCATAGAGACAGAAAATAGATTAGTGGTTGCTAGACTCTGGGAAGGAGAGGAAATGGGAAGTGACTGCTTATGGGGACAGGGTTTCTTTTGCGGTGATGAAAATGTTTTGGAATTAGAAGGTGGTGATGGTTGTACAACTTTGTGAATATACTAAAACCCACAGAATTATACACTTTAAAGGAGGGCATTTATGATATATGAATTATATCTTAATAAAAATGTAATTTAAAAAATTCGGATGTCATCAGTTAGTGAACCACAGGCCAAATTCACCCAACAGGCTTGTTTAAAACAACAACAAAATTATTTTTTATTTGCATTTATGTAAAATAAACATATATGACCAGTCCCTGATGGCATGTGAGCTTGTAATTCCTGAAATGAGCCCTCTGAAAGAAATGAATTTTATTTACTCCTGGAAAAATGGAGGTTAATAAATTCAACTCTTGTTTATTCCACTTCCACTGTTTTTCAAGCATTTAATATTGGAAATAAGAAAAATGCTTTAGTCACTAATACATAAAAAATTATGATAAAACAGAAGATGTGGCCTTCCATTCATCTTCCCAGGGGTTTTCATCGTCTGTCCAATAGAATATACTGGTATTATTGGATGCAGCTGACTCATTTCCCCCAAAGACTTGATAAATGAGGAGGCAGTCTTCTGAAAGTATTAACCAAAATATATTAACATAATTAGCAGTAACTTGACTTTCCCCAAATTGGAAACTTTTATCTATGCCGTTTCTTAATTTCCTTAAAGGTTTAATTTCATCTGTTCATCATCCTCTTTCTCTCCAAACTCAATTTAAAGCTTCAGCCTTTAGTTAGTTTACTACCACATCTTTTTCTTTACTACAAAACTTATAGGAAGAAACAATAGGTCTGACTGTATTCTACCTCTTCAGTTAGTTATGAGTCTCATTCAAATGGCATTAATATATGCAAGTTCACACTCTACGTCACTGGTTTCTCAGCAGCCCAGGGAGCTCTTTTTAAAACGGGCATTCCTGTCCATTTTATTTTTTTGATCAGATTGTTTGGAAATAAGAGTAATAAGTGCTCTTAGAAAAATTGGAAAATAAAAGAGGTTAGAAAAAAGAGTAGAAAATCATTCATAGTCCTAAAATAATGCCTGTAAAAAATAAAAATAATGCCTGTAGTTATTTTGATTTTTTCCCAAACTTTGAGTATTTTCATAGATCTTTAATGGTCATAAACTTCATATAAAAATTTTAATATGCAAAACAATACAAGGTATCATGTATATGGACACATACAGGTGAACTAGAACTATAGAACTTGCATAGGGATGGTGGATACCAAGTTTAGGATGGTGGTTACCTCTAGAAGTGAGAGGATGGAATCAGGGAAGACTTCACTGGAAGCTGAAAAGTTGTGTTGCCTAAAAAATTAAAGGCGCTAAAGCAAATACTTCTGAGTGATGGGTACACATGTATTTACTATATTCTCTACTTTTCTGTATACTTGAAATACTTCATAATAAAAAGATAAGGCATATTACCCTCCTAATTCTATGTAGCCAAGTCCATCATTCACTGTCAATTAGTACAATTTTGTTTATCCTGACAGCCTTCCCAATTCAAAGGGTTGACATCTTATTGATCTGGCACAATTATTTCAAGCACCTCATATAAAGTATCAATATACAGAAGTAATGTGTATTAGAAATTACATTCTTGCCTAGCCAATTACTTATTATGAACTGAATTTAGAAGACTCAAAAAAAAATACCCATTTGTCTGATTTCCTATATAGTACCTTCCACAGATTTTAATAAGTAACTGCACTGCTGTAAGCCCACCACATGTATAATTACATATTAAGGCTAGAAAATTTCTGGACAGAAAAGTCAACTTGACACTTTAAAGTTCAATGTCAAGGGGAAAAATCATTGTGATCATTATATTGGATTTTTAAGTCAGGCACAAGACCTGTTTTATTGTATTCCAGGTTCTAGTTCATTACAGTTGAAAGAAAGCACTAAATAATAAAATTGGATGGACATGCGTTTAAAAGACCACGAAGACGTGGATAAAATAGAATGGTAGGGTAACAATCGAAATGACTAACACCTGCTATGGAAGGGAACCGGGCTCTGAAACGGAACAGTTACCCAGTTTCACCTGGGCTGAGGGGTTTTCCTGTTATGGCTTGGTATTTCACTTCTCTTTGCTCATACTCAGTGAGATGTTACTGCTAGTTAGTTGCTTTGTCTAAT